TTTGGAAAATCATCGGCTGCAGGATTAGTGAAGCTGAAGCAAACGCTGAGATTAACAGTGTATCCTGATGCATAGAAAGTGGTTGATTAATAAAGTAAACATTTAAATACATAAGATGTTCAAATTGTTATACTCCGGCCCAGTTTGAGGGTTTTCCTGCTTTCTTCTTGTCATAGAGTCAATTTTATAATCTTTTCTCTTTCTCAGCTGGATGGTTCTCTATGACTCGACCTATAGGCAGTTTCCCTTTTCTGGGTTTGCAAGCACCTGTTTTATATTACGTCATCAATCTTGGCTTCATGGTTACAAAAAGCTGGGACCCACTTTGTTATGTTAACCCAGGGTTTTCCCTGCATGTTTGCATGAAAGGGCTGGTGTGACAACATCTGACCAATCTAAAAGAGCATCTCACAGTTCATAACACTTTTCTTTCACAGAAAAGGATTCCTCTGCGTGTCACCTGTAAAGAAAATAAAAGAAATATACCAGTAAAACACCACAGGATTGTAAAAAGGACAAGAGGTGAATCGTTCATCTGGTGATTTAGCACACAGAGCAGCAAAATAAACTCTTTAATACCAGGTAATTATCTTGTCACTGAGCTGCTGTTTACTTTTAAGGTGATGGGAAGCTCAACTGTCCCACAGGCTGATAAAGGAAATGTGGAAATCACTTTAATGTGTCACAGATCAAAGTGAAATAATGTGACTGACTGAACTGATGCTCTGTGTCCTGTGTTGTAGCTGCTTTTTCACCACAGAAAAAAGACAAGACAGCAACTCAGTCCAATGAAAGCTGAACTCGACTTATCGACATAAGACCTCAAGAAGTGAAAATGACGAGACCATGTTCAGTCGTTTGTTCGATATGATTTATTTTGTGCACACTCCATAACAGTGGGCGGCAGTAATGCACCGTTCTGCTGTTTGCAGCCGCTAATAAACGTCAACAAGACGAGAGCGAGCGGTGGCTGCAGCTAGCTGTCAGGAGCGAAATCGCGCGTGTCCGAGAGGAATCATGTTTGAAAACTTCAGAGAAAAGCTTCACATCGTCCAGCAGGATTTCACAACGGGGTTGGTCCGCTGTTTTCTGCACTAGTGAACTTTGGGTAACGTTAGCTGAGTTCGTGCATTAGGTCTTGCCAGCGTGTAGCATAGCAGGTAACGATAGCTAATGAAAAAACAACTGCAGTGTGTGCTACAGAGAGCAGCGGTTACTCAACCAACCAACCAACCAGTTCTTATTCTGCTTTAGTGCTGGCTGAATGCGTCAGCATACCCAGTACTAAGTTCCATTTGTTAGCGTGCCAACTGGTGCGATCCCAGCTGTTTACGTTACTGCTGTCAGCTGATAGTCATGTGATGACCCCCTCCCACAAACAAACTTTTGGAGTGCAGCTGTTTTGTGTGTTTGAGGGAGAGTGTGTGTAATCGGGCTCTATTCTAAGAAGCAGGTTCAGCTAATAACGCGTTTGTTATCTCTGAGAGGAGGGAAACTCTGTTTGTGTTCATCAGTTAGCGTTAACTCTGAGTCAGTTACCAAGGTAACAGACGGTAGTTACCTTAGTTTGTTACTTTGTGTTCTTGACTTAAATGCGTTTTTGTAACAATGTGGTCATAGAGATGCTGTCAATATTTGAATGAATATGAGTCTCACACTAAACTGAAAATAATGCAGCCTGCAGACAGCGTGTGTTCTGACTACAGTCCATGTTAACTTTAATGGATGAATATTAAACTTTTTGAAATGTTCAGAAAGTTAGAGACCGAGCCTCGACATATTTTGCACTAAAAATCACCTGAATCAGTCTCAGTGGGTTGGCCCAAAAATCTGATCCGCTCTAAGAGGATCTCAGCTAAGCTGACTTTTTCCTTTTCTTGTCTCCCCACAGCTTCAAGACACTTGGAGACAAATCAAGAAATACCAAAATGAAGAGGAGACCCAGGTGAGAGCTGGGTCTAAAAAAAAGTAAAAAAGAAAGAAATATATATATAATGGAGTATAATGCTGATAACACGTGATGCGCGGTGCCGCAAATTTAAGCGGCATGATTCATCATTTAGTGAGTTCATTAGTTCGACGTTTTCCATTAAACAGTTCTCAAACTGAAATGAATATCTGAGTGTTTCTTAGTTTTAGTCTAGTGGGTTAGTCTATGTTTTTTTCCTCATTTAGTCAATTAAGAAATTAGTCACCAGGAACATCCATAGTTTGAATCTCGGGGTGACCTAAAGGTCAGAGGTCAAGATTTCTGAAATCTTGTGAATGTGATACTGAGAATTGATAGCATACATGGATTTACTAAAAATCTTGGAGGAGATCAAATCTCAGTGACCTCGACCTCCAGGTAAAGGCCAGAAAACAACTTCCCTGAAATGTTGAAGTTGATACCACAGGTGTGTCTGCTGGGAGGCTGAGAGGTAGTCGTGGCAGGTGCCAGTGTTTTTTATATCACTGAATTCTTCAAAAAAACAAAACAAATAAACTGTTCAAAACGACTGTGTGAGAAAGTATTTGCTGCCTCCTGTTAAATCATTAAGTAACGGTGACCAGCCACGTTCTTGTGGAAGGCT